GGGGGGGGGGGGGGGGGGGGGGGGGGGGGAAGGGGCATGAGATTCCTGGCTTGGAGTTCCTCCATAGTCACACTAAAAAGCAGTCGCACAGCCCTACTCTGTGATTATTATATATCTAATATTATTGAGTAATATAGAAGTAAACTTACTAGAAAAAGAAAGATACTGAAGAAAATCTGCTTCGATTTACAGTCAATCCGTATTTTCCACGGTTCAGACTGGCTGTTTACTTCAGAAATTACTACTTGGCTTACTAAGGGCCGCAAATTATCAGTTTAACCCACTCCGGCCGCTCCACTTGGACCGTCCACTTATGATTCGGCCTTCTGCTAGACGTTACTTATCATTACAGCTATTCTTTGGGATTTTTTGGAGTTTCAAGATTCGTAATTTGGTTATTGGGCCAGAAATTACGACAAAGAAACCGTATGTTTTCAGGTTGATGCCGCAATGGCTGCTCGTCCGCATATGTTGGATGGGAAGAAGGTGGATCCGAAACGAGCAGTGCCCCGCGATCAATCAGCACACAGTGAGGCAAATGTTTCCACCAAGCGTCTGTATGTTTCGGGCGTACGAGAAGAGCACACCGAGCAGATGTTCGAAGAATACTTTAGCCAGTTCGGCAAAGTTCTGAAGGTAAAAAAATTGACGTATTTCTCGTCGTTTTAATCTTTTTTTCGGACCAAAAAGTGCCAAACGTTCAGTATTTCGTCGTGGAGGATGAAGCACAACAGCAGACTGGGACTATTAGATGGTGATGCAACAGCGGATGGAATAAAAGTACATATTTGAATACTTGGATTAAGAGTACATACCTGGATACTTCAGCAGCAGCTGTATATGTCATCGACGTTCGTTGTCACGCCACCGATGCAACACTGGCAACTTCTCCAACTGGTTGCTGCGCTTCTCGAGATCACGTGGTGCCGTACAGGTGTACCATGGGATCTCTCCACCCCACTGGTATCCTCAGTCTTCTTTTGATCGTGCGCAAGTACCATCCCATTATCCGCTTCGTCCATCTGTTGTCTCTCATCCCGGCCACATGACTTGCCCATCTCTTCTTGCTGGTGTACATTGCTTCGATAATGTCTTTCGTGCCAAATCTGACTCGGAGCACTTCATCTGAATGCGTATATGAAGATGACGAAGAGGAGCTCCCTTTTCGCATTTGTCAGGAGAAGTTTGGCTGCATTTTTTATAACATATGGACAGTTTAAAAAAAAAAACAAAAGGCAGTTCGAGCCTAAAAGGCCCTGTGAAGAAAACAAGAAGGTGCCGGAACAGCGACCCAATCAGTGAAAGGTACTAGGCGGCAGGGGCCGCACCAATCGTGCATACAATAGGAAAAAGCAAGGATGAAACGGAAGTCGCCCAAGATCTGTAGTGTTAATGAGAGAAAGAGAATAAAAAAAGTCAGACTGTTGTGACGCATATTTTTTTTTTTAAAAAATCAGGGTGAAATTTAAAAGAATTCATGTAAAGAGTAGTATGTAAAAAAGCCTGCCTGTGT